TTGTACTCTAAGTGTCGGGGGATGAAGTGACAGTTTTGAAGGGTAACATCGGCGTCATCGTCAAACATTGGTTCACCGCTTGACATTTTCCCCACGGGATGAGAGAGTTCGTACTCTCCTGCACGCGTGTACATGCACTATTAATCGTGGCCCATTATACGCTCTAATGGTCCTTCGGGATATTTTCTACGGGGCAGAGGAGATTCCGGTTCGAGACAAAGATTTGCCTCGAGTTGAATGATTGTACATTTTCGTACGATTGCGCCTCCCTTGTTATTATTATTTTTTCGCGCTTGGTTGTCGATTTGCCGCGGAATAAGTAATTAGAGTTTGCGTAGGAGGAGTAATACTCTACGTTTTAATAAAGAAACCGAGTATCTTTCAAATTATATCGTGCATTTTCATTCTTCGTAATACTAAATTTCGACGTATGTTAAAGTAATAATTTTTAATTCGTGTTAAATAAAATTAAACTGAAAATTTTAATAAGTTTTATACGAAAGTAGAAAGAAAAATAATTATCATTTCTTGTTGATAGCAACAAATTCAAATAGGAATTGTATAATATATGCATACAATTTTCTAATTAAATAATATAATATAATATATTTGTGAATTTTCAAAAATCTAACATAAACAAACTACTCTTACAAACTATCCTTATCCCTATCTTAATACCTTCATCGGTAGATTAAATTTAATCTTCGTTCAAAATTTTCCTCGTCCTCGAATTTCATCAAAAGAATCCATCCTCTGCTTTAAAAAAAAATTAAAAAAAAAAAAGCAAATTAATTAATATCATGACGCGTATGCTCGAAAAAGAAGAACATCAGCATCGGTGGCTCATTACCGATGACAAGAAGCCGGTAATTAAGCGTTGCAAACACATCTGACAACGCTTTCGCCATCGCAACGGCGCGTATATCTTCGGCGAGGCGTCTTTTCAAGGCCGTGAAACAGCAAAAATAGATGATAAAAATCCGATAACCTGTATATATCAACTCTAACCTTAACCCGATAATAGTAATGAGCGTGATATCGATATTTCTCGCGAGTTTCAAGCAATATATAAAATATATTCATAATTGCATCGAAAGAAACTTGCTTAATATCAAACTCGTATCGTGACATTATTAAAAATATAAAAATTTGAAATGGAATCTTGGAATATTTACATGAACATACATAAAAAATAATCAAAAGGAATCGAACCTGAAGATTACGACGATCACATCTCGATCCGTCGTTTTGAAAATAAGACACCGAAAATTTCTTTTTTCCGCTTTTCCCTCCCCCGTAATTTCGCAGAGAAATTTTTATGGCAATTTTTCATTATTCCCCCATCCCTTCGAGCCTCGTCCTCAAGATTTCGCGATTAATCTCAGAGAGCAGCGACGTGGATTTACGCGAGTTATAAGACGAATATAAAGTTCGAATTTTCTCGTGCAAGACGGGAATACGCGTCTGGAATATGCTCCCGGCGAATGTGATTCATTCATATTTGCGTATCACCGGATGTCGGTTGTTCGGTTGGAACACGCGACTTTCCTCTGTACCTGTCACAGTTACACATAGCGGCAGGCTTGTTGATAAGGGTATTCTTTACGATTTTTCGATTTTATTCTTCGAATTGATATATTATATATCAAAATTAAGGAACGAGGAAAATTTCTTAAATTTTCTTTTCGATTCGCCTTAATATTTTGTTTTAAAAAATGTTTATAAGAAACGAGATATAGGATCTCGAAGAATTTATTGGTCTCTAATAATAATAATAATAATGATAATAAACTATCCTGCAACGATAAATTTCCACCATTAAACGGTCCACTAATGATAAATAGTAATGTACAGTGGCGACCACATATCTGTTCCCCCGGCTAGTGGGACGAAACAGCCGATAAATCGTGTCGAGAATTTAATAAAGTTACCGCGGCTCGCCC